CTCTTAGTTACCCAGAAAAGTTGCTGTAAGAAAACAAAATAAATGAAACACTATGGGTCCTTCCTTCTTTTTAGACTGGCTCAGGGCCATGGTGATAAGCGACCCCTTATTTTAAGAGTGTCTAACTGACTCAATTGCGAGTGTTTTCACTAGTTCAAAGATAAAATCCAATGAAAACAAAAATACTGAATAAAAATAATTTAATTCAAGCATAAGTCATAGCCTCACTTCACTATATTTGTCCAAAGACGCAAACTCCTGAATGAGTGATTTCGTCACAGCCTCTCTGAGCATGAATTAGCACTTCAGCATCAAGTAAAACGGAAAGGAAGCTTGGAGCTGTGGCAGCAGCAGTTAAACAAGACCTAAATTTTATCTGGTTTGGTAAAGTAACCTTTAAAATTCAAAGGATGGTGGCAAAAAGTATATTCTTTTTTTTTTTTCAGTGTATTCTCTAGAATAGTTATGAGGGTAACTACAGCTTAGCGGATAGAGTTAGTGACATTGGAGACAGATGGCTCTAAATGATACTGCCACTTACTAGCTGTATGTCCTTTGTGTTAACTTAGCTGAGACTCAGTTTCCTCCTCTGTACAGTGGGGAGAATAAACATACTAACTACTCTATAAGATTGCTATGAGAATTAAATTTTTGAAGTATATATATAGAGTACTTAGTAAAATTATGAGCATATAGTATATGTTCAATTATTGACAAAGTGCTTGCCAAGATTATAAGTTCTTTTGCAAATATTGTATGAATGCTTCAATAGTTGAAGTCATTCTCCTTATCCCCTCCCATTTTCTTCAGTGGAAATGTTGGTTTATATGTCCATTCTAAGTAAACAACATAGTTCATGTTTCAACGTTGCCGAGAACTGTGGACATTATCTGGCCAGGGACTCATTTGGGAACCATGAAAAAGTTCTTTGGAAACAACGTATAATTGAAATTCAAAAAGAAACTCAATTTAAAATCAGACCAGAACATTTTATGAGTCCTCAAAAACAAAAACATAATGACTCAAATTAGCAATCTTGCTTATCATCTAATTTTTACATCATTCATTAAGTTTATAAAAACAAATTTTCAAAACGACAACAGTTTCCACTGTATTTACATGTCCACTTTAAAGCAAAGTTCTATTTTGGCAAGATGGAGCTTCTCTGTTTTTTTCCTATTGGATCTTTCCCAAGCAAGAAAGAATTTTGTAATTTTGTGTAGATCTGAGTCACTTATTAAATTCCCAATTCTGCTCAAGGAGGAAATTTAGGTCAGTGGTTATGAACCAAGACAGACCTGTTGTCTTAGGTCTTTCTTGAAATTAGGGAGACCTTGGACCTGTTACTTAATCTCTCTAAACTCATTTCCCTTCATTTCAGATGTACTGAAACTAGTATGTAAAGCATTTTAATAGTTCCTGGCACATGGTAAGCACTCTAAAAATGTTGGCTATCACTACTCCATTCAAGATTGATTTCTTAGAACACAGAGTAAATACCTTGATTTTAGGACCACCTATTTCAATTTAAGATCTGTATTATTAAGGAAATAGTTTTGGTTCAGTCCACAACATGGTTTTTAGTTAATTTGTTGAGTAAAGCCCAACTTGAAGAAGACTAGGCAAAGGAAATTGTGTTTCTAACCTGCCATACTTACTTGGGTACCCCTGGCTTGGAAGCTCATTAGAGCCTCAGAAAGAAAAAGAATTTATTAAATCAATTATTGTGCACAGATGAAAGGGCACATCACTTGCTAATTACAGCAGTGGCTAGCACTGATGCAGGCATCTCTTTTATTCCCCTTAGCTTATGGCCCCATTAGCAATTAACAGTGACTGATGTCCTGAAAGGAAGCGTTCTGTCTGCACTGCTGGGTTTTCTCAGGAGGAATTAGAAATGAGATACTTGACAGAGTTTAGCCAGAAAAATAATTAAAACAAAAACAATTTAAAACTACAAGAAACCACCTGTTTTATTTGTGGATAGACTTGCAAAAACCTTAAACAACATCAATACACTCATTGACTTCATTTATTAAGACAATTTTACTTTGCCTAATTTTGCAACATTATGAAATGTACCAGAAACTATTTTGTTCCATACTAAAAGTGCTTAAACACTTATCTCTTTAGTTAATATTCACAAGTTAAAAGAATCACTTTTTTGGAGGGAAGGTCTCTTATAGAAATGAAATTCCAAACTGGGGAATTAAAACTCCATTGAATTATTTCTCAACAAACAGGTTTCCCTTTTCCTCACTGTGTGCCCATCACAGTATACAGAAGCAACGCCATGGTCTCTCTGGGAGTGAATCAAGATTAGAACTGTATACCAGGGTATCTACATGAAAAGCAAGCCAGCAAACAAAAAAGCAATATTGCTGATATTTGAGGTAATGACCTAAAAACAATCAAGATGAAGTTGTGTTTTGGTCGAAAGATGTGACTCCATATTCAAGCCCCACCTTTGGTCTGCTCTTGATTGATGGATGCTGGGCAGAAATGTGTCCAGGTAGAGCTGGGATCAAGGTGGCGATGTTCTCTATTTCTGTCACATCTTCTCCCTTGCTCTCTCAAATATCCTCTCTTCTGCCAATCCAGCTAGCTTTCAGAAGTCTCAGTCTCAGTTCACATAATTAAAGCAATGTATGTCCTCCTTCATAAGCACATGTATTTTAGCCTAAATAATTATAGCTAATAGTGATCAAACTCTTCTATTAAAAAAAAAAATCTCAGCTGAAAATTTTACGTGTATTATCTCATTTAGTCCTCACAATCATTCTATGAGGTAGATAAAATTACTACCCTATTTTATCCATTGATAAATTTCAGCCTAAGTATGACAATTAACTTCCCCAAAGTCGCTCAGCTACAAGTGGTCTGATTTCATAGCCTGGGCTTTGAAATAACTATGTTATTGAAAATATAAATGATCATAGTGTCAGGCATCTTGATAGGTGAGGCCATATTCATGGGGCTTCTCTGCAAATTGAAATCAACATTCCAGGCTGAAGACTTGAATTCTGCCTTAGTAGTCACCTCTTATACAGGAAAAGTAATTTTATCATGAAACTCGGGTGGTAATTCCAGCTCTGCCTCCCATGACCCTTCAACTTTCTCAGAGAAGCACAGTATAGAGACTTTGTGAGAGAAAGAAAAGAATAAAGGACACATAATAAAGTGTCCAGAATCTCATTCTCTACTTTGTCATAGCGGATTCCCTTATAGGCCAATGTTTCTGTTCTAGCAGGTAGGTTAAAGACAGGAGAGGTGCCCATGGCATCATGTCAGACTTGAGGAGGATGAATAAGAACATTTACCATATCCCAAACACCATAAATGTGTGGAAAATCTTTAAAGTGGAAGCCTACTATACAGGAAAAAAAAAAAGAAATGATACTTTACTCAACTTCAGAAATTCACTGAAACCCAAGACCCTTCAGGCTAATAATATAACTAGATTTTAGAAAGTTAAAGACAAACAAAACAAAAACAAAAACTCTTAGAAGAAAATTAGGATTGTGTGTGTTGTGCATGATTTTTTTTTTTTTTTTTAGGTTGAAAATAAAAGGACAAATTCTTTGGGCCCATTGGCAGAGAATGTTGACTGTTTAGCGGACCAGAAGCCAGGCTCAAAATAGGAAACTTAATGCAATTTAATTTCCTTTCAGCGGGAAGTAGGGAAGAAGCACCAGGCTGCCCTTGACACTCAAGAGAATATCCCCTCTGCTGCACTGCTGGGTGCCTCTTGGAAAAACTCATCATGTGAAATTGATAACCAGAGCGTTCCTGGGCTAGCTGCTGTACACTCAACCAATCTCCAAAGTGCACTGCCCTTCCAGAGGGTATGGAGGGAAGATCAAATCACACTGCATTTTCAGACAATAGTGGATGATGAAATACAGAGGCCATTTTGGCCGTAAGCTCTCCATGTCTGACAGAGCCACCAGCACCACAGCATCACTGGGGCCTTCAACCTGCCACGAGTTTTAGGAAGTAGCTTCAGGGCCTCTTTCCAAGCTTGAACAGCCATGCCTATCTGTCTAGATGAACACATGTCCTTGGGGAAAACAACTCCATTATGACCTCTACCAACTAAAGGGTAATGGTCTACTCTACTAAGTCATACCACGCCTGACCTTAATGGCACCAGCATCTCAGGGTAAAACAGGAGAGTTTAGATAGAGTCCACTGATTCTTAGACCTTGCCGGCTGCTCCCGGAAGGGGCCTTCGCAATGGATATCTTGTTGTTGTATGGACAGAGTCCAGTAAGGGATGTGGGGACAATTCAGGTCTCAAGAGTTCGTTTCCTTAATGGCACTGGAAAGGTGAATTCTGATGACTTCTCTCTGCTGCTGTATCTCTATCTATGGTTTAAGGATAATGGCCCACTGCCTTTCTTTCATGGAGCACAGTTTTTTTTTCTTTTGTTGTTGATTGCTTGTTTCTTTAAACAAAGAGAACAAAATCTGGCTGGGTGCAGTGGCTCATGCCTGTAATCCCAGCACTTTGGGAGGCCAAGGTAGGCAGATCACTAGAGGTCGGGAGTTGGAGACAAACCTGGCCAACATGGCAAAACCCTGTCTCTACTAAAAATACCAAAATTAGCCCGATGTGGTGGTACGCACCTGTAGTCCCAGCTACTTGGGAGGCTGAGGCAGGAGAATTGCTGGAACCCAGGAGGCAGGGGTTGCAATGAGCAAAGATCATGCCACTGCACTCCAGTCTGGGTGACAGAAAAAACAAAACAAAACAAAAAACAAACAAACAAAAAACCAAGGACAAAACCAAAAATTCCTGAGTTTTATGTGTGCTTCTATCCCTTTAGGCTGATTACTGTTATTTAATAGCGTGTAATTTTTATTAAAATCAAGATATTTAGACAATTTAGAAGCAGCTTTATATTTCAGGTTTGGAAGGAGAAAGACAAATGGGCTTCTTCGATGGCCTTTCTACCACTGCAGCAGGAAAATGAGTTCAAGTCATAAAAAAAGATACATTCAGGAGAAAGCACATGTCTTTAGTAACTAGCATCCACGGGTTATATTAGAGGACAAGCAAGCATCCTTCAAAGAAAAACGAACTCTGAGTTGGCGTCAGAGAGCATCTCAAGACCTCATTTTTATCATTTACAAAATAAAAATGCCTGATAACACCTTTTCAAATGCCCATTACAGATCTAAAACACTATTGTCAGTTTAACATTTATAATCTGCCATGCACAAGGCACTGTGATAACCGATAACAGAAAAAGATGAAAAAAAAGCCAAAAAATACAAAATAGGTAAAGGGGTGAGATAAAAAACACAACAGATAAATGGATAAAATTTAAAATGAACAGACTGTCCTCCCTGTCCTTCAGCCCACTGACCACCGGAACAGACCCACGTGTGTATGCATAGACATAATTCACAGATAAGGCATATAGCATATCCAAAGGGATGTGGGGCACCAAGGGAGAAGGTAAAGGCTGGTCTAGGGATGGAGGATGCCCTTGATCATGGCCTTTAAAGACATATAAGATTAAATCAGCTGAGGATGGTAGAGATGCCAAAAACAGTGATGGCAAAAGGGTATTTGGTTAGTTGCATTAGTCATTTCGCCCAATAACAATGCTTGATAAATGTTTGTTAACCTACTGGTGGCCAGAAGAGAAGACAACAAGTGAGTAAAATTGAAGAGCTGGAGTGTGAGATTCAAGGTCAAATTCAGAGATAATGGGGATGGAAAATGAAATTGAAAAATAGCTTTATACCCTAGGGTAAAATGTCACACCCTACAAATGCACCCCTAATAAATACGTGTTGTTGATGTCATTGCTATTAAACTCTGTTTATGGCTGTTTTGTTTCTAATGTTCATTTTTAAAATAAATATTCCAATTATGAAATAGACCTTAACCCCATTGTTCACAGATTAATCCTATAGTGTGTATCACATCTATCATTGCTACTGACTAAATAAAGCAAATTCATAACAAATTTTATCTCTGATAAAACATAATTATTGCATATTGAATGTGAAATCAAAATCAAATCAGTTTCATTTTGGAGGGAGGGCAGTCCGACTATGAACTCACCATAGTTCACAGGGACTACATGTCCTTTTCTATAAACACAGGGGGCTGAGTCAGGTGACTTCAAAGGCTCTTCTAGTTCTAATTGGATTATAAGTTGCATATGCATATTGGCAATGTGAATTACTGACCAATTGCATTTGTATTTCAATATATGGCTTGGATCCGATGCTCGTGATAGAAAGTTCTTAGGAATTCTTAGTGTCTAATTCCTGGGGTGATTAAATTCTCTCACTCACAGGGAATTCATCTAAAGGTATCCCACACTAAGAACACGGAAGAGCCTGCAAGTTTGCTCCCAGTCCTTGGAAAAAATCTTCCTGCTGCTTATAGATCGATGTCTAACAGCTTCAAGATGGCAAACTCAATAGCTCTATTCTGAATTCCAGAAATCCTTCTTTCATAGTCACAGGAAGATAGACTCTTGAGAAACACCAAAACAATCTTGTGGACAATAACACTATTTTTTTTGGAGCAAAGGACTGTGGGACCTGTTATGGTCCCTGCCGTGTCCACGGTCAGCTGTCCACCTCGACTGAACCTCGACCAAAGAGGCCTTGCCCTCACTCTCCCCTCCAGACTCACCCTCCTCATCCACTGCATGAAACAGAGGTTTGGGCCTTAAAGCCACACTCCTTACTCCACCCAAGTACTCTTCTTGGCTTGTGTTTCTTTGATAACCAGAGTTGAATGCCTTCCTTCCTCTGTGTAGGCTCTTCATCGGGATTATTTCTTGTGCCTCTTGTTTCTGAAGCGACCCTATCCGAGAGAGTGCGCTGAACATGATGGATGGGGATCCTGGATCGCTGCTGTCATCATCTAGGAAAACATCATGGCAAGAAGGGGAAAGAACAAGACTTAAGATCAGAGGTAAGACTTAATATCTGCATGGCAGGAAGTCAGAGTGAGGCAAAGCCTTGCCTGAGGTTTCAGCTCTACACTCAACTTTCTTATCAGCACAATTTTTCCTTCTTGAGGACACTGCCCGAAGCAGATGGGAGGACAGAAGCTATAAGTGCAGTGTCATAAATAAATAGAAATGCATGAAAAATGGCGTATCAAGCCAGTCTCCCCAGGCAAGTAGGGTCGTGTCATTTTACAGAATCAGATCAGTTGGCCATAGACATAAACCATGGGACACAAAGATGCTTGGTCTTGTCCAAAGCCAACGCTACACAGAAGGTTATGTGGTGCAGCCATCTGAAAGTGGTTGCTTTTATCTTGGTTTGCTTTTTAATCAGTGGTTACCAGAAAGCATTACATCTGAATTCCAATCCTTTGATACAGAAAAAGTCAATCCTGGAGAAAGGGGGATAGGAGGGAGCCACAGCAGAGACCAGGGTGTGACCGGATACCCTCCTTTCAGAGGAGTAAGCAGGTGACAGACTGACTGGCACTTGATGGGAACTTCCCTTTCCTGATAATTTACTATATCCCTGTCACTGTGCTCATCCTTTTATATATATCATGCCATTGAATCCTCATAGCGGCCCTTCCAGGTGAGTAAAGTTATGAATCTCACAGGTAAAGTGGCTGAGGTTTTACAAGGTTAAGCAATGCTCAATATCACAAGCTGGTGAATATGGGAACAGAGTTTGAGCAGAGCCTGCCCAGCTTCGAATCCACTTCTTACCATCAGGTCTCCTTGCTGTCTCCTTGGTGTATCCACCTGTAAGAGGGAGGGCAAGGGAAGCCAGCAGCTGTGTATGCAATGTCCCCTCTTGGATTCTCTTCCAGACCCCTAACCCATGCCTAGGACATTGCCTTGTCCCCACTTCAATGTGCACACATCTTTAAAGGAATATTTCTCACATATCTCATTTCCTCTCATTTCCTCAAAGTCTTAGCCTCATAAATTTATTTTCCCTTTAAAAATTCTCCTAGGAACTTAGGTATTTTCAGACATTTATATTTAAATCTGAAAGCCATTTTCCTTCTCTCATTCTTCCTCCTAAAAAAAAAAACAAAAACTCCACGTCTAGAATGAACATGCCCAAAGATTTACACTTGAAAAAATGCATTTGGAATGTGGGACACCTGAAAATCTAAAAAATTCTGTTCAATAATGTTTCCCTAAAATGTGACCCAATTATACTAAGAAGGTAACTTGGAAATTAGGCAAGGGAGACCAACTTCTTTCAATAAAGAAAACATTAATTAATATATCTGTCCATTGTTTTCCATGACTCTCCTTTAATGTGTGCTCTGTGACGAGGCCTGGGACCAGTCCCTCTGGATCCTTGGTGCTTGAAGCACTAGCTAAGGAAACAATGGCCTGGAGGCTTCTGCCCCCAAACCCTGTTCTCTCACTCCAAGCTTTCCTGTTGAGCGCCCCATCAGTGGACAGATCTTAGTCGTGGTTTCGGTTTCCCAACCACCCTCTGGGTTATTTTACAGTGGACTCCAAGCTCTAGGAAGAGGCATGGGTGTGTGACTTGCAAAGTTTCGCTCAGCTTAGAGCTGCCCAAAATTGAAGGAAGAAGTTGGCTGGAAAGCAGAAGGCAGAAAAAGGAAGAGTGAGGACTGTGTTTCGTCCTTTTTGCGTAACTCTCCTCCACATGGGCACCCAGGCAGTGCAGTTCCAGGCAGAGCAGTGGATACTTTGTCAACAAAATCTGAGTATCTGTTCTTTTACGTCCCACCTGACCGACAGCCTGAACTTCTGGACATGGGCACCCTGGCATGAAAGGAGAAATAAGGAAGGTACTTCTGCTCAGCGCAGGGCGAGCCCCAGCACACAGAGGATGAACTACCTGATGCAGGATACACTGTTCAGACACCCAAACTTGGGGTGCAACCCTCCCCACCTCCATATTTTTTAAACTTGTGGTAAAATCTGCCTCGATTGCCGACATGGATTCTAAGCAGCCTCGTCATTTAAGGGGTTTCCAGGCAAGACCTCTCTACTTATAACACCAAGTGAGCCCTGAAGGCAAAAGAGCCCCGAAAGAGCATGTGAAGTCCTCCAAACCAGCATGGAGCTCCAAGACATCCAGAACAAGAAAAGTCCTGACCCTGGGGGGCAAGGGGAGAGCTAGGAAGGGAAGCATTCTCCAAGTTTCAGGCGGGTTAGCCAGGGACTGCTTGCCTGCAGAACAAGAGTCTCCACTGTCTCCCCTAGATCCCCTCCAGCCATTCTCCTGGTGCAGAGAGACTTCGGGTTTGGCGAGAAGGATTCCAGTGATCAACTGTGCTTGGCTACACATTGAGGACTATCTCAGCCTTATCCTCATCATTATTATAATCCTTTTTAAATGTATCATGGTTTATTATTTTTCATAAATCACAACCATAGAAATTACAAATTATTCACAGTAGAGTTAATTCCAAGCAAGCCAGAAATGAGTCTGCATATACAGGCATAAGTTTCCATGACAAATAGGCACAAGTATATAAAATCCTACAGACATATGACCCATAACGTATTGCAGAGCACTGATTTCCCATCTTTAAAACTTATTGAAGAAAACTGCTAACATAAGTGCTATTTCATTACTTTTCTCTCAGATTTTTAGTTTAACCACTCTCTTTATTCACCTAGTTGAAACTTACAACCAGCCGAGTATATGTAAAAGAAAAGAAATCATTGGGACTAACAGTTCATTCCAAGTCTGAATTAATTCATGTAGAAGCGACATTGTGAAGCGTTGTCTTTCTTTCCAAGAACATCTGTATTTATCCAAGTCAAGGCTTCCTTAAGTCCCTAAGTAGTAATAGTAATAACGACTAATATTTCTTGCACATCTACTTAGTTCCAGGCTCTGTTCTAGTGGCTTTATGTACCTGTTGATATGTGTACCCTGCATGTATGAGACTGGCTTTGCATCAGGACAATACAATTGCATATGGAGGGAACCAATATTATCCTCTTCATAGACCAGAAATGACAGTGTGGAGAAGTAGAATTTTATTTTTCCTTCATATAGACTCTGTCTATTTTTTTCCTGGCATTTTATGGCTTTGACTGAAAGTGTGACTGAGATATCCTTTAGTGAGGACATCTATTAAAAGGCTAGGATCCTGTGACCTGTTTATTAGTCTAGTGAATCATGTATGTATGTTTCCAAATGTTAAACGACTCTCAAATTCTGGAATAAACCCACTTTGCAAGGTGTATTGTACTTTTAATGTTCTGCTGTATTTTGTTTCTAATGCTTATTTAAGATTTGTTCATTAGTGCTCAAATGAGGCTGCTCCGTGGTCATCTCCTGCTACCATAGTCATGCGGTATTGATGCTTGTCTCTTAAGAAATAACTGTCGTCCGGGCATGGGGGCTCACACCTGTAATCCTAGCATGTTAGGGGGCGAGGCAGGAGGATCCCTTGTGCCCAGGAGTTAGAGATCAGCCTGGGCAACATAGAGAGACCCTGTCCCTTTGTAAAATTTTTTTCTAAAAAAATTTAAATTAAAAAAAAAATAACAGTGACACTTTCTTGTTTTCTCACTCAAATAACAAAACTGGTTCCAGGTTATTTGTACCAGGAAGATTATTTTTAAAAATTAAACTATTGACCAGGCTCGGTAGCTCATGCCTGTAATCCCAGCACTTTGGGAGGCCCAGGCTGGGAGATCACCTGAGGTCAGGAGTTCAAGACTAGCCTGGCCAACATGGAGAAACCCCGTCTCTACTGAAAATACAAAAATTGGCCGGATGTGGTGGCACATGCCTGTAATCCCAGCTACTCAGGAGGCTGAGGCAGGAGAATCACTTGAACTCAAGAGGCAGAGGTTGCAGTGAGCAGAGATCGTTCCACTGCACTCCAGCCGGGGTGACAGAGAGAGACTGGCCTCAAAAAAATAAATCATTGGCATCATTTAGGAGAGAAAATGGATGAAGAACCCTTGTTATATAGGGTTCTTCAAATTCATCTCAAGAAAATCAACAACCAAATAGAAACAAAACAAAACAAAAAATGAGCAAAGGCAGAAAAACAGAAAACTTCACCCCAAGAAATATCATTGTTTACAAAATGTGAAAGATGTTCAACTTCACTAAAAATCAAAGAGATTCATATGAATTAAATCTGGCATATAAATTTTATGCTATCGTATCACAGATTACTCAAAACTTTGACAACAGCCCAGTGGTATTAGGAAAAGATCATTCTTACAGACTGTTGTTGTGAGGGCAAATTCGTGACATAATCTTTTGTAATGGTGTTTTGACAATATCTGTAAAAATTTAAATCTATATGAATTTGACCTCAACATTTTACTTCCAGGAAAATATACTTAGGGAATAATTGCTTATTTGTGAAAATACCAATCACAAGTGGTCCAGAGTCCTTATTATGTATCATTGTTTATATTTATTAAAAGTTGATAATACCTTAAGTATTAATTAGGAATTAGCTTAATAAGCTTTGGCACATGCATGTAATTCTTATTAACTCATTAAAAATGAGTATTAGATCCACATCTACTGGCATGGAAACCTATGTACAACATTTGTTCAGTGAACTAGGCAATTTATAAAAATTGCAACACAATGACTATACTTTGATTTTTGTGTATAATATGATGCAATGTTTCTGTGATTTTTTTGTGGGGGGAGGTGTCAGTATGAGTAGTGTGGGGTCAGGCAGGTATAGGAAGAATTCTAGAAGGATGTTCACCAAAACATTCTATGGTGATTATACCTTGGCATTGAGGTTGCAAGTGCTTCTAACTTTCTTTTTCATGCTTTTCTCTACTGAATGATTTTAATTTTGTATGAAGTATGTTTTTAAATCAGAAAAAAAGTTTCATTTTGAGGTAATTACATATACTCCTTAAAGATTAAATACTAAAATCCTATGTTTAGTTTACTTGAATTTCCAACATGATTTTAACACTTAAAAATTAGGAAAATAAAAATAGATAACATGGCATGTTACACATATTATGTCACCTTTTGCTAATAGCAAATCGTTTTATACACACATAAAAATAGTAACTTTGCTTTTATTAGAATAATAAAGTTTCAATAATTCTAAGAATTCCACTTAATTAAATATTAAATGGAAAACATTTAATCAGTAAGTCTGGTGAAATCATTTTAGTGAAATTAAGCCAGGTTTGGAGAATTCTGCTCATACTTAAATGGTGGGTAAATACTAGAGCTTCAGCAAAACATCCCTTTCACATTTCTTCAAGATGTGATCAAATTATGACCCTTGGGCTCTATCTGGCCTACTTCCTCTTTGTATATGGCCTGTCAGCTACAAATGGTTAGTACATTTTTAAGGGGCTGAAAAAATTAAAAGAAGATAATATTTCATGAAAAGTGAAAATTGTATGAAATTCAAATTTCAGTGTTCATAAACAAAGTTATGAGTTTCATCTACAAAAGAAGTTGTTTTCTTCTTTTTCTTATCATGTAAGTAACCTACATAATGTTCTTCATGTTGCCTCTTGTTCCACACCCACAGATATTTACCATCTGACCCTTTACAGAAAAGCAGCAGAGAAGCCAGGCATGCAGCTTACCTGAGAACTCAGCAGCCTTTGTGTCTCTTCCCGCAGACTGAGGATTCCCGTAGGGGAAGGAGAGGTAGCGGACATTCTTGGTGCCAGCCTGTGGGTAGCAAGTAGAAAGAAAAAGCAGAATAAGCTGCCACGATTCAGAGCTTCACATGGCAAATAAAGGGAAGGGCCAGACACTTTGGCTTACGCCTCTAATCCCAGCACTTTGGGAGGCAAAGGTGAGCGGATCACCCGAGGTCAATAATTCAAGACCGGCCTGGCCAACATGGTGAAATCTTGTCTCTACTAAAAATACAAAAATTAGCAGGGCATGGTCACGGGCACCTGTAATCCCAGCTACTCGGGAGGCTGAGGCAGGAGAATCGCATGAACCCGGGAGGCAGAGGTTGTAGTGAGCTGAGATCGCACCACCCACTGCACTCCAGTCTGGGTGACAGAACGAGACTCCCTCTCATAAGTAATAAAATAAAATAAAGGGAGGAACACAGACCTGTTCTGTGGCATCTTGTTTGGATTACTGGCTTTTAGTTTTTTTGTTTTGAGAAAGCAGACCACACCAGTCTCCAATATGTATTTCCTTTCCCTCTCATGACAAAAGAGACCATTAGCAACCTTTCAAAGTTACTCCCATATCCCCACTGAGGATAGGTTTGAGATTAGGGCCTGCTTCTCACCCAGCCTCCATCCAAACTGCAGGTAAGACTGGTTTGTTATGGCCTCAATGGGAAGAGTGCAGGAACACAGTGGCTGATGTGAAGGTGAGCCCAGGAGTCAGACCAGGTACTGACCATGAGGACTGAAGGGCATGGTCAGTACCTGGTCACCATAAGGTCTGGGTCTGGACTCACAGCACATCAAGTGCATTGCAGTCCCTGACCCACCCTGGAGGGCAGCACCCTATGGGCAGATACCTTCAGTCCCTAAGACCCTGAACCCAGAGAAAAAGGTTGCTCTGGTGTCTTGCACTCTTGCCTTAGGATCTCTCAGGTAACAAGGTGGGGTTTTGTTTGTGTAAATATTGATGGTCACGCATGTGAGATCCTGTACAGGAACAGGCTCAGCAGGTGACAAACACTTGCAGACTGAAGGAATGTCCCAGTCCCCAGCCCCAGTGTACCGGCTTTCCCCAGGGCAGGCTGTGGCCTTTCCTCATGCTCTCCCTTAAGGTGTTCTGGCGGCGGATCAGAATCTCTTTAGCCTGCTTCTCACTCGTTTGGGGTTTGAGGTTATATTTGTTGTAGGACAGGGTCTGCAGAGAAAATGGAATGTCAAATATGTAAGGACTCCTTCGTACAACTTTCAGCCAAGGAAGCCACGGAAACATCAGGAACCTAAGACCAAAAGAACAGGTGAGCACCTTGGAGGTCAGCTAAGCATTTGATTACGAATGAGCAAGTTTCAGTCCTAGGAAGAAAAGTGTGTGACCCCAGGTCATGCTGCTCTTAGGGCAGAGCTGTGGCTGGAGCCTCTGCCTTCTGCTCTAACCCTTACAGCGGTCCTTCCCTTAGTTACCCACAGACTCGGCCTGCCCCATACATACACTTTCCTTTCCAGGTCATGTTTTGGATGCCAGGCCAGTGAATTTAATAAGAAAGGAAAATATCAAAACTAAACTACTTTGGGACTTTCCATAGGGCTGTTGTCTTTTAATTTTACCAATTAAGGATACCTACACATGCATGCGTGCGCACACACACACACACACAATTTCTATCAACCATTATCATCATCAATTCAGAAAGAAAGTCTCTTAACCAAAGTCACAAGAAGAACATAATTTGAGATTTAAAAAAAAATAGTCCTTCAAATTGAATCAATTTAGCTTTATGAGAACATCTTCCTTGTCCTTTACCCCAGACCAATGGAAACTTGTCATGGACCCTAGGCCAACATTAGTCAGTCCTCAGACAAATGTTTGCAAAATGCTTAACTGAAATTTCTTCTCCTTTTTGGTGCTCACTAAAGGCCCACCAGCAAATGCTCAGTTTGCCAGTAGGTGACACACTGTGTGCACTGATAAACCACAAAGTCCTGGTAGATGACAGGATCAGGACCGCAGGGGCTCTCCCTCCCAAGTGACGGATGCTGTGATGGGGATAGTCAGTTCCACTTCAATAGAGAAAATGCTGTATGTGCCCTCAGGTGCTGTGGAAGGCACAGGATTAAATAAGTGAGTACATTAGAACTACAGTCTTCAAAAGGCTTACAGTTTCCTGGAAAAGTCAAATCAATAGGGATAAGATGCTGTGCATGCAGGTAAGTGATAAGATTCTGGGATCATCAGGGGTCGTAGAGTACAGGCAAAAGGCACTTCATCCAGTCTTGGATGGGAAAAGTTCAGTGTACTGAGATAAGTCTTGAAAGATGAGTGAGTGTTATCCTGGGAATAAATTCCAGGAAGAGAAAACACATGAGCTAAGACGTCAGCTGGTAACCACCTTGGAGGTGAGAGGACAGTCAGAGGATGTGCTGGAAAAGAGCCAGGAATGAGTCTGTTACACACAAAAAAATGGGGTGCTTCATTCAAAGTGTGTGAGAGGTGAGACTGGAGGGGCATGGAGGGGCTGGGGTCAGGCCACAGGTAGCCTGCCAAGGAGTACAGGCTGCATTTTTCAGGCCATGTGTTTTTTAGGTGGGTGCACACACTCCAAAAAGTGCCACAAGATGCCCCACAGGGTGAGAAAGAAAATACTGATACTTCTATTTCTATTGATCTTTATCCAAACAAATACAAAGCATATTAAGCTCTATTAGTACTTAATATATGAATGTATAACGGGCCCTCACTCAGTCCATACATGAGACAGTCAAGTCAACAAGGGATTCACAATGGCATCCTCATAGGTTTCACCAGCTTGCAGTTCATTGTGTTTCAGTGTGTGTGCATCCAGTTAAGTAGATGTGTGGTTTCCATTAGCTATTAACTAAAGTAACCCTCACAAAATAGACAATTGTATTAAAAAAGTGTTGTAAAGAAGGTGTAAACTGGACTGCCAAGGTGGCTCACACCTCTAATCCTAGCACTTCAGGAGGCCAAGACATGTGGATCACTGAGCCCAGTAGTTTGAGACCGACCTGGGCAATGTGACTAAACCCTATCTCTACAAAAAATACAGAAAAAAAAAAATAGCTGGATGTGGTGGTGTGAACCTGCGGTCCTAACTACTCACGAAGCTGAGGTGGGAGAAACGCTTGAGTGTAGGAGGTCAAAGCCACAGTGAGCCGTGATCATGCCACCGCACTCTAGCCTGGGTGACAGAGTGAGAGTGACACCTGTCTCCAAGGGAAAAGAAAAGAAGGCATAAACTAAAGGCCAAGGGAACAATGAGGGAAGGGTAAATCCAACTTTCTCCTCCCAATGGGAGCTCTTTGTCATCCACTTCTGACACATTAACACATCTGACAAGAATTTTCCCCAAAAAGTTGAAATTTGAAAATAGTTTGAAATATGAATTCTTATCTATCATTAGTAATGATACACCTCAACCTATGTGCATTTTATACATTGAAATATTAAATATTAAAAATGGTAACATGACACAGTCGTGAAAAATAAAACAAGAATTAGGAATATAGAGACAAACTTTTACAATTGTTTATCAATTTTAAAATCATGCAAAACTGAATGCAGTGTGTGTGTGTGTGTGTGTGTGTGTGTGTATACATACAATGTATTGCTAGTAGGATTTCCTACACCTAGACTTGGGAGGAGGTTGTACTTTTTAAGGAACACTTGGGCGGTTGGCTTCCTATTTCACCTCCCATAACCTGCCATGACCCACGTGCTTCTCTATTTTGCCTGTCTACAGGGGGCATAGAAGCCTCTATGCATATAATGTGCATGCAAGTTTCTTCCCTCCTCTCCCTCCATTTCTGTGTTACAGTGGAGCTTGTACTTCCCACTGGACCTTGAGTCCTAAAAGAGAAAGAACTTTGTCTTATTCAGTGCAGTGTTCCTGATGCCCGGCACATTCTAGATGTGCATTAACTGTTTGCTGAAGGAAACTGAAATTGCTCCCTTCCTTTGAAAGCATGTAGAAATTCTGAGAGTAATCTGATTATCCAGGCTACTCAGGAACCACCCATCAATCTGTGACCTATCCTGGGGGTCTGGGCTGAAGCCAGTTTCTTCTCTTGTAAGTTTAGTCATAGTATTTCTCAACCTCCATCCCCACTGTGTTTCAGAGAGCTTCCTCTGTGGTTGTCCTACCAGGAACCTCCAGAGGTGAGTCCTTTAAGTTTTCCACCCATGAAGATTCTGTCCTGGGTTTACTGAGTCGAAGGACTTCAAACAGAATTGGCTGGAGTCCTCCTAGGAGCAACAGACCCAGCAGGGCCAGCTCAGTTTTGGATCAACTCTGCATTAGGGTCGCCCAGAGTCAAACTCTGCATTCATCCTGGTCCTGTTCTGAGGTAAATCCCAATGCCCAAGATGGCCTCTTTCAAGATGTGATCAGTGAGAAATGCCCTGGCTACCAGGGCTGCATCTATCATCCAGGCTACAGAGGGCAGGATGGCTAAGGTACACCCTTTGTGACATTCCTCAAAAATGTAGATTGTCTGCTAGAAACAGAGTAAATGTATAATTGTCCTAAGTTGCATTTTCAGGTAGACTTTTCCTTCAAGAGATCAAGAGGACCACGGTGGAAGACAGAATTCTCATGACCTTTGTAAAGCTGAGTAAGGAGAGGAAGACGGGAAGAGGTAGGACTGGTGAGTTTGACTTATGGAGTAAGCAAAGTAGAGTCAAAGAGCCACCTCATAGGCTTGTAACTGCCCTCTGTTTATCAATTGCGTTCTCCCTATTTGGCTCCCAAGGTCGTCAGCAATAAACTTCTTAAATGGAAAGAGGTCTTTGTGCTTTAATTTGAGGGCAATGAGGAAGGGAGGTGCTGTATATCTTAGAAAGTAGAACTCTGGAAAGCAGAATGCATAGGATACTTATTAAAAGAGACGAAAGGAGACTATCTTGGAAACTGCATCCAAGGAAGAAAAGAAAGGATGAGCAGTTGACCTTATTTTAGACTGGATTAGAGTCCTAGGATCTTCATCTCCATTTCCAGACCTTTCCCTAAACTTGATCTTCATCCACGTAGGGAAAAGGCTGAGTAACAGGTACCCTCTGGGCTCCAGCTCTCACTAAGCTAGCCACATTCTTCAAACCAGGAAGTTGTTATCTATTATTTATCTAAGGCAGGATGTGATAGTCTTACTGAAACAGTTTCACTTGGAATGATTTGAAAGCCTTGGAATTTACTCTAAGCACACTACCATTAGTGCTGACCTGTATTCCTCCAGCTGGTGCAGAGCCTTTCACTGACACATTCCTCTTAATCACTGACCTTTGAGTTGAAACAGGAGACCAGAAAACATTCACTTTCATTGGATTATGTAAGTCCAGAGTCATGAAAAGAGCACTGGGTGGGTGGGTAGAAGTCCTGCGTTCTTAACCTGGATTTGTTTTGTAACCTTGAAAAAGTCAGATAACCAACTCCACTGACCTCAGCATCTTCCCTTTGAAGATGAGGAGCTTTGTCTAGGTGATTTTGTTTTAGTTTCATTAAGACTATGATCAAGGACACAGTCACAAAACTAAAGGTCCTCAAAATGAATTCATTTCTAATCACACCCAAGTATTAGGATTAGGATGGACGATCAAATCCTCAAACTATAAAAACTTCTCATTATATGACTTCGTTAGATGACTAATTAGATGGAATGTTATTTAACTAAGTCAAAGTTTCAGAAAGATTCATTCACTGCCCTCAGAAATCTTCTTAGTATGCACTTTGGACCAGTTCCCAAGGACTAGTAGAGATTTCATACCTAGTTCCAAAATAGAGAAATAAGATGTCTCCTTTTATTCAGGCATTTATTCATTATAAATTATAGTTTCAATATGGGAACCTAAACTATCTCAACTTTCTTATTGTAGTCAATACAACTGGGACAAGTGCACTGTGATCAGTGTCCTGGTGCCATCTTTGTTCTGTGGTGTGGTGGATGAGCTTCTTTGCAGAGAGACCTGCTAGTTCTGGAAAGCACCAGGCTGCAGGGCTAGGGCAGCCTGCCCCCTAGAGACGGTAACTAGATTTGCACTTCTTTTCATGCCACAGGTGCCAATTTTGCAGCAGAAACATGACAATTAACTTTCTATTCTCCAAACTAAGCAGAGAGAAAATATTCAGCAAGAGTTCACCTTACAGAGGATGACATGAACATCAGGGGACTCCTGAAGGACTGTTTTGAAGGACAGACAAGGGGGACAACACAGGTGGCTCATACACACCCTTTGCCGAACTTGGTACATGTTGGATGTCAGAATGTCCCTTATGGACTCCACATCTTCAGGGGAAAGTCTTTTGATTCCTTGTATCCTCTGGGCCCTGGAATCGTTATTGGAGAAGAGACAAACATTATTCTTTCATTTGGCAAGAGGTGCCACAAAAATATCAGTGGGCCTTGCTCTGTACTGAGGGGAATCCTAAGCTCCAGAATCCTACATATAATTTTCCTATTGTTCTAGTAAGTTGATTTGAAATGTCAGAACACGTGTCTTGACTTCAGGTTTTGAAAATACTGGTCCTTTGCCTATAGCTTATATGTGGTAATTATTCCAACCCATTTTTTGAAAAAGGTCTAAAGCGGTAACAAGTTTTTTTTTCCCCCACAAATCTGTTATGAACTGGAATGTTTGTACGATACAATAAAAGTCAATTGTTAGAAAATGATACCGTACCATGCAATCCAAATATTTTACCATTAAATGCAACAGAAAAAAATGATTCAGTCCAAGACAAACTCTTTGTTAGTTTTGTACTTACCTATCTCACTGAGGACGGGTGGCAAACAATTCACAGATTTAATACCTTCTACACACCACCACATTTTGATTAGCATTTATCTAACAAAATGTTAGTTTCATGAGTACATTTGTATTGGAATTGTACCTGTAGGATTTTATCTTTGATTAAGAAATAATTGAAGAAACCAGAATCACATTTTACAAGGGCAATTAGACTATTTATACCATGAGAGCCAGCCCAGCTCTGAGATATTGTACACCGTGACCCCTTCCCACCTCTGGAAGGGATTAAAAACCGGGTTATGCCTGTGCCCAGGTTAGCAGTCAATGCACAATTGTCCTCTGGGGATTATAAAGTCCTGACAATCCTGGGGGAAGAATTCTCATGTGACAAGTGTATTTGATTACAATCTAGTGGCAGTAATTTTTAAAAACTTTATATTACATGAATAATATATATTCCATGTGGAACATAAGAACCAAAAAGAGAGAACTAAAAATAATCAACTCCCTTTTTAATACTATCACCTTCCTTAACATCTTGATATAAACCCTAATGGGTTTGTTTGTTTGTTTCTAGCCTCAGCTCTTTTGAATTTTGAATGCATAAGGGCACTGGAGGCTTTGATATCTGCTTGCATACACTCTTAAGATAATTGGCCACAGACATGAGTAATGATTAGTTTTAATACAGGCCACCTTTTAAGTATTTTTCAAAACATTACTAGCAATACAGCCATCAATAGTGAAGACATTTTAAAAGTAATGTACATTTGATAAAAGATTTTAAAGGACTTGGGTACTGAATATCACAGAAAGCCTGGATTTTGTTTAGCAATGCTATCTGTAGACTGACTAATGTCCTCTCTACAAACTGATTGAAATCAGTTTCCATATCATAAAGCTGCAAATGTCACCTCTATTGATACACAGTTACCACCCTTGGTGATCTTAACATTATTATCAGGGCATTTCAACCTAACTGTTTAAATGTCCTTCAAATAACATTTATTCTGATTTAGATATGCCCACACACTTCCACAATCTGAACACATTCCTTTAATGTGGTGAATGTGATGTACTGCTAAGCAGAAACAACAGTGAGTCAAATAGTTCCATTTATGTGTTCATTATGAAACAACCTAATAGGAGAAACCACTGATAAAGGAAATGGTAAAATTACACTTGATATAGCAGTAGATGTAACTTGGCACTCTTCCCAGTTTATAATTGACCACTTTGGGAAGGACGAACTTAGGTAAAGTCCATTCAAGCTCTGGTTGGAATGAGCACTCCAGGTATCCCAAAGGCATCTCCCATCATGGAGTCACATTGAGAAGCTGCAACTATAGAATTATAGCAACTATCATTCTACAGCTATAGAATTGACTCACTTGGGCAAGGTGATACCTGGAGGTTTCTTCATGCCGCTTCATTAGCAAAATCGTCCCTGAAATACTCCCAGCACAAGCACAGGAGATACAGCTTTAGAAAAACTGAATGAGTGATCATTTCCATATCAAGTCAACTTATAAACCAAAAGACTCTTGTCACTGGACCATTGATTCATTATCCGTAAAGGAGATCTTCATCACCTTAAATAAAAGTTCTGCAATAATTTCAATCAAACTGGAAAAATCTGAACCTAAGTATATTGAATACAATGTTCATATTTCTCATAACGCTTCTTACTTATCTTTTATATTGATACATAATAGTCGTACATAGTTTTAGGGTATATGTGATAATTTGATACATTCATATAATCAAATTAGGGTACTTGAGATATCCATTACCTTGCATTTTTATATTTTCTTTATATTAGAACCATTCAAATCATTCTCTTCTAGCTATTTTGAAATGTACAATCAGTTAGTGTTAACTATAGTTACCCTGCAGTCCTGTCAACCACCAGAGCTTATTTCTTCTATCTAAGTGTATATTTGTTCTCATTAATCAACCTCTCTTCAATGGTCCCTCATTCTTTTTCTCTTTTGATCAGTTGCTATAATAATGTAAAAAGAGGCTTCAATTCTACTATAATATCTAGTAGAATACACATATCATAGTATGAAGTTCCAAAAGATCAAATATGATTTGCTAATTTATTTAGAAGAACACATCTTTTTTTTTAAGCAGCTAAGATGTGAAGTGTTTAGAAAAAGTGGGCTCAGAGGAAGACTTGCCTGCGATGCACACAGTGGCGCCCACCAGCAGCGCTGTGTGTGCAGCTGCTTTGCATGTTTTTACAGAGGTCACCAAGATGAACAACATTTGGAATGAGTGACGAGTGGCTGAGATGATGCTGCTCCTCAGAATACAGTGTTCCAGTGTGGAAGTGAAAAATGGCATCAGAATCTGCATCCTAGTCTTCTAGGTGAGAATGTGGAAATGTGAATTTGTACCTGTCAATGTGCGATCCATTAGAAAATTCTTAGACTACAATGAAGTTACTTTAGGTCTCTTTAAAAAATAAAGGACACATTAAAATTATTTGGGAGTTTTAAAATACATTTTGAAGTTGTATGGTTGTCATTTGTTACGCCTATATATATATCAATATTTTAATATCACTTTAATCAAAAAATGTTTAAAGCTTCAACACTTTTAATCAGCTTGACTCTCTATCTCTGATAATTTCTAACAGCTTACCACTCATTGGTGAGATGAGCCGCTTCATATTTGAAATAGTAATCAAAGTGCATATTCTACCTATTCATAGGATTGTTTTGAGTTTCAAATAAGGTAATGCATGTAAAAGCAATGGGATTCCAAAAAATCAACATCATCCAGACTGTGCAAATAGACAACCGTGGGGGCAGTGTTCTCCTGAAGGTCATAGAATTTGAAAATCTAAACCTTTTGTAGAACAATTGCTTGAACTTCTAAAGAAAAAAATACCTGTGCATTTTGTTGTTATCATCTCATACAGAATAATAAAAAGCGAGCTGAGTACACACTTCTTTTTCCTATTATTGTATGAAGGTTTGTTTTGTAAGAAATTAGCTGCTTTGATCTCAGGAGAGGAATTCCTTTTTGCTTGACGTCCTACAGATTTCTGATGAGATCAAATAAATGCAATTTAAATACTAAATACGTATTAAATATCAACTTTAAAAAATCTCTCCCACCCCAGTTAACTACCTACTTGGAGTGTAGGAGGAAAAAAAATTATCTCGTACCTATAAGGCTCTCTCACTAATCTTAAATGCATTTCTAAAGAAATAATTAACTCAACTGGCAGGCCCTGCTCCAAATAAAACTGGTTTAAAGATTGCCTTGAGATCAGAAATTAAGGCAAATGCTTATGGCTGATGCAATGTAATACAAAAATTCAAAATATGCTTTGCCACCTGGCAGACTGATTCTCATTTGAGATAAGCACCCCTACCTTCCTAGACCAAGTGCTCACTTAAGTGAGCAAAGCAATTAAGGAAGTTTCTAATGGTCTAAACTGCATTAATCAGCATTGATCCCTCAGTGAGCAGGCCAAAGGCGAGGAGTCCAGGTGAGGTGCACCTCTCATAGACTTGCATAGCTCTCTGTTCTTTATGATTATGTTTGTGTGGCCTTTTTTGTTAACGTCATGACCCTACCAGAGTATGGTGTCCATGAGGGCAAGGCCTGTGTCCGCTTCACGGTGCTTGGCACATAGGAGGTGTCTAACAGACAGGATTGGATCAAAGGTGTCAAATGCAAGGAAGTGCCAAAAAACTCAGTAACTAAGGTAAGTCAGATTCAAATGCAATATTTTTAGAAATAAAGGTCAATGCAAAAAATTCTTGATGAATATAATATCAACATTTTAAATAACAGAGGATCAATATGCCTGATGTTTCCTTTGCCTGAGGTTCCACTATGATGCAGCAGAGCATTGCCAATATATATTTGTCAGCACTTTTCCATTTTAATATCAGAAGTTTCCTTAAAGCCACATGATGAGCAGCATCAAAACCAATCAACACCCCCCCCCCCCCCGCCAACCCTGAAAGAAAAGTCACTAAGAAATAAGGCAGAAAGCTTTGTATTATATTGAGATATCCTCAGGGACGCTAGTTAGGATTCTTCTCAGGCCATGTAAGAAATGCAAGGGTGTTTCTGATTTATTAGCAGGCAAGGGATGAAGGTGTTATCTCAGAAATAAGACTTAGGCAATAGTGACAATTTTATTGCTACCTATTCTTAGCTCTTCTTCCAACTGCCTTTTTAAATGTGAAGACATAATTGAAGCATATGATCAAGTGTTTTTACCTGCTGAAGACAACAGGATGGAGGGGGACCCTGTTCCTTATCCTAAATATATGTTGTGATTAATTTTCCCAATTTATAAATCATTTTCTTCGAGGAAAAACTGGGCATCTTTGGGAAATTAATGCATTCTTTTGACATTGAAGGGGCTCTCATTAAATCTCAGAGTTAAAGCAGTTTTAAGAAGTATTTAGCCAGCTCTTGGGACAAGTGGCTACCGTACCACGTTGCATGGAAAATCATCTTGTAATGATGGGTTTATATTCCAGTATCACCCCTCCCTATGTCCTTCTTCCACAACAACTCCCTGTTCCTCAGGAAGCCAGGCCACTCGCTGCTTCTACTCCAAGCTGGTCTCACAGAGACTCAAGGCAAATTTCACAGTCTCATGTAGACCTTCGCCTTAGATGCAATTACAAACACAACTTTCTCTTTACATAGACCACCAATGACCACACCTCCTGCTATCATCAGTCATTCCCAAATCCAAGTTATCATCTCAGAAAGTTAACTCATCTCTCACGTAAAAGAGGAAGAGAAATGGCTTATGGGAAGAAACACAATGGTAGGAAGGACAGAATCACATGCACAGGGGTCATGTCAGGAGCAAACTGAGACAGTCCTGTAGAATATGCTGCAATTCTACACATTCACTTGCCCTTCCCTCCCAAAGAAAGATGTCATACAACTCTAAGTAAGCAACATATGCTAGAAAGTAATTTTCAGAAACTAGGTAAAATATGTTGAGCTTCGGCCAAGCCATAAAAATGCCAAGACTTAGATTACGTATTTTAAACATAATTTCTTCTTTATATTTCTGCCTCTTTACTCCTCGTGTACCTTTAAATGAGGCAATGAGTCAGTGCCCCTTGGAATTCTGACAGTGAAAGTTTAGAACAAAGAACAGATATGACTTACTGATGGGGTATGGAGAAAGCTGTAGAGCTTAGTATCCCAGTCTCCACCATCTCGATGGCTTGTTTCATTTCCAGCTTCTTGTACAAAGAAACAATGCTTGATTTGGGTAGGTTCTTTCGGATGAGGATTTTCCGTAAGTATCTATGATCAAACTTCTTAAACCTAAAAATGAAAACCAACATTTTTGAAATCTTGAATGTCTGTATGTGTTACGTAAGTATGCATTTCTCTTAAACTACTTACTACTTAACTTTATTCTGAAGAAACATCAGGACAGTGCCGGGTATTCATAGCATTTGAACACATTTTTTTTTAAAATCATAGTATTTATGCATTTTTTAAAATAAAAAAAAAAGAATGGCCTACTGGCCTGAATACATTGAAAATCAACTAAACAAAAGGAAGGGACAAGCTGCAATCAGGGCAAAAAGTGTGCATAAGTGAGGAGCGGGGGAGGCCCAGCCCAGCTCAGCTCCAATTGTAAGAGAAGAAATGAGGGGGCTGAAGCTTTTGAACAAGTGTTCCATTCTAATAGCGCATAACAGCGGCAGCTGCACTTACAGTAATACTGGCCTATTCAACCAGAACCCAATAACTTTAAATGGCCCGGTAGTTACAGTAGTTTTGCCCCATTATGCTGCAGATCATTTTGAATCCTACCAATTAAGGGGAAGAAAAAAACCCTACATATGTCCCAATAGCCTGAATGATGGAGACTGTGAATAGGCGAGACTGATGGCCGCTGACTATTGTAAGGAACCTCTGGCCGGCCCATTCGAGCGAGCTGCGCTTTGCATATGGTGCCTTCAGAGTCAGCCATTTGTTTGGAGTTGGAATTTTCAACACTTTCAATCATTTTACATTCAAAGAGTAGTTTGCCCGCCTGCTTTATTTTCCAGAGGGGAACATAGCTTCCCGGGCTGCTGGTTTATTATCTGGCAATTGGTTTCCTGGTCCATGAGCTCTGTCAACTCAGCCCCTCCAGGGGCAGGGGCTGGCTTCCTGAGCTTTGCTATCTGAGCTCGGCTCAGACCAGGCCTCCTCTTATTCCGACTGGGTCGATCTTCTGTCTTCTAGTTTTCTGCCCTCATGAGAAGCCATGGCTCCTGTGTATTCTCAGCCCACGGTAATCACCTCCCCAACCATAACACCCTCCACTGCCTGACTCGCTCCTGCTTCCCTGTCAGGCTCTCTGACCACTTCTTCTCAATCTCCTTCCGCACTTTGTTTTCCTTGCCTGCGCCCAAGAGTGAGAGCTTCTCAGAGCCCCATCCTCAGTGAGCTGCCAGCTACTCACTCCAGCCGCAACCTTCCTCCTGAACTGGAAACGAAATCCAGTAAAACAATACATTCTGAAAGGTGAGATATGGTGGAGAAGAGGGATTTGGGCATTTAAAAAAAGAATTACCATATTTGAGAATCTTAAAGATCTTCCACCATGGCCTTCCCCACAATGGAGGAATCCCTTGCCAGGATTCCTAAGGAGGCACCAAACTCCCTTTCCAAACTCCTTTTCCAAGCTGGCCATTCCGTGGTAGAGCTGATCTTATCCTTGGGAAGCTTGTCCTTGTTTTTAACGTAAATATTACTTTTCTAATTTCTACTCATTAGCTGTACTAGTTCTCTCTGGAACAACCTACACCGACTTTACCGCGTCTTCCACCTGACAACTCTTTATTTTCCAGGCTTAGCATGCCCTGGAATTTCAACTGCTTCCTGTAGGGGATGGCTCTGGAGCACCTTATCTTCTTGGTCTCCATTCCCTGAATTCTCTCTGGTTTTATGCCCAGCTTCCAATGGAACCTTTAGAAGTTACCCATGCCACCCGTATCCTTTGCCTGGGAGTGAAACCCTCGGCCTCCTTACTTGTCTCTCACTTGGTAGTGACTCCAGTGCCCACACACGTCTTCGATTCCAGCCTTTAAGTGATCCATCAGCTGCCAAACAAACACAAGAAAATGATTGCTGGAGAAACGCGAACTCTGAAAGACACACAGGACAGCTAAGACACCTTAAAAAACAAAGGAGGCTTTAATTTTCTGGAGCATATCTGACTTTCTATCACTGTGTTCGTGTAATAAAACATTTGATGCCTTTCACAGTAATTTCAACTTTGTTTTGTGGTTTAAAGACTCGGTAGATAAGTTTCTTGATAATTCACATAATATGTAATGAAAACCGGGAACCTGGCATTTGTTTTGGATAATACTTTTCTAGAATGATCTAGGAAATGTCTCATTTACTGAGATTACTGAAATCATTTGGAGGATAATTAATAATAATAAAATATATCATATTTAAGATATTATTAAATAATTGTAATAACTGTTACTTTTAATTTCATTGCAAAAGAAAAGAACACACTGCTATCCCATAATACAATTTCTGAAAATATAATTCTATAAATATTATACTATAACATATAATAACAAAATATCTATATTCCTTATTTTTATATGCTTGTTTGATCTAAGTACTTACATTTCACCACTCGAGCAAATTATATTGCATTTGTTTTATCCAAAATTGTTTATGGAAATTTAGGAAAAAGTGCAGTCTTCAAAATAATTATGAAATTAGTCTCCAAATACTTTAAATTTGAAATTATTGAAGTCTATACTGGCTTCTGAATTTTGTCTTGAAAAACAGATTCAAATATTAAATTAATTATTAAATAATTGATTCACTACTTTCTACCAAAAATTACAACTTTTTTGAGGAAAAGAAAAATAAATGAGAGAAGAATGAAATATCCAAGTGCCATGGACTTAGGCAGATTTTCTAATTTGTCAAAATAATAAATCATCGGAGGCAAAGATAGAGACAAAAATCTATGATCAGTTTAAGGTTGGACATATTTCAAAACAGTCACTACTTATCCTTATCTGTTAATTATTTTCAAATGGCCTTGAAAATTTTTCGTTAGGATTTCCTGGAATTTAAACAACCAAATTTCCTAGGTCACTTTGACTATGAACTTTAGGGTAGATTTTGGAAGACTTCATCATTCATCAGTTTCTCTAGTATTAAAATGGTGAACTCTCAGGGATAGAAGAAACCTAACATTTTTCAGGTTCAACTATCTCCTCAAAGCTTGAATCTCATGTACAGCAACGATGCCACATGTTCCCAATCACTGGTTAGACACATCCACTTCAGCTTCAGGTGTGCCAATCAGGAAATGATTGTCAGAACGCTCTTTCATTAACTGACTTGAAGTCTCCACCTATAACCCTTCAGACATTAGTTCTCATTTCTATTCCTTGGAGCTATACACAGTGGTATCCCTTCAATGTTGTGCTGAACTTAAACAAACAGGTAGAAACCATGCTCAATGTCATATTCATCTTTGCTAGCCTGGGATGTTTTCACTAAAATCTGCCACTCAGCCATGTTTACAAAAGAAGTAGCACCCTTTGCCCCTCCTATAGTAAGAGTTCAAAAAAGGCAGAGGACCCCATATTTCATTGGAACTGTGACTTTAGAAACAAGCAGGACAATTTTGAATGTTAGTCACTGTGATAGTATTTTGAGGTATCAATTTAGCCAGGCAACTCCCCGGTTATTCAATCAAACAGTACTCTAGATGTTGCTGTAAATGTATTTTGTAGATCTGATTGAAGTCATAATCAGTTGTCTTACGTAAGGGAGATGACCCAGATAATCTGATTCAATCAGTTGAAAGGGCTTAAGAACAGGCCCCAGGCTTCCCTGATGAAGAAAAAAATCCTACTTGTAGACAGTAGCTCTTTTCCATGACCTGTCCCATGGATTCTGGGCTTTCCTAGCCAGTCCCAACAATACTGAAAAACAATTCCTTACAACAAATCTCTTCCTATCTCATCTCTATCTGTATCTCTATCTCTATCTCTATTTCTATCTCTGTCTCTGTCTCTGTCTCTATCTCTATCTCTGTCTCTATCTCTATCTCTATCTCTGTCCATCCATCCTACTGGCTCTGCTTCTCTGTTGAGCCCTGATGGAAACACCACCAGCTTGGACAAAAAAGAGGAGGAGATGAAAGAAATATGTCAGACCCCCACAATTCTATAAGCAAGAAATAGACTGATAAAGTTACTCAGCTGCAAACTTATGCTACCTTTGTAAACAAAGGAAGTATGATTCAGAGGGTGAAGTTGAGAACTCAGAGGGTGGAACAAAGAGTTGCAAGGGATTAGGGGATTCCCAGCCCTTGAAACCAAACAAAGCTTGCCCAGGAAACATTGAAGTTTGCTTGGTATCGATGACTCCTTTTTTTCTTTCATTATCTCCCCAGCTTTTCGAAAGGCAATAGCCATAACTGTTATTCAACGAGTGTCCTACCATATATTTTAAGAGCAGATAACTTGTTTCTTGAGTTCAACAAATTCATAGATGAAGAGAAACTGAGCCTCAGAATAGATTATACCCAGAGCCTCACTGAGCCCTGCTCTAGATGATGGAGATAATGAGATTTGGGATTTTTGACCTGATAAGATTCAGATGATATTTTGGATTTTGAATTGATGATGCAGTGTTTTGAGACTTTTGGGGTGCTAGGATAGAAGGAAGGTATTTTGCATGTGGAACAGATATGAATCTTTGGGACACAGACGGCAGACTGTGGTAGGGAGAACAATGACCTTGCAAAGATATCCATGTCTTAATCCCCAGAACTTGTGAATATGGTAGTTTAGTTTAAAGGAGTATTAAGTGGCAGATGGACTTAAGGTTGCTAATCAGCTGACCTTAAGCTGGAGACAATCTCCTGAATTATCCATGTGGATGCAGTGGGATCATAAAGCTCCTTCAATGTGGAAGAGGGAGGCAGAAGGATCATTGTTGGAGGGATGCAGCCACTGCAGGCTCTGAAGATGGAAGGGGCCATGGGCCAAGGAACGCAGGCAGCCTTTGGAAGCTGTGGGAGGTGAGGAAACAGATTCTCCCCAGGGCCTCCAGAAAGGAGCACAGCCCTGTAACACCTAGATTTTGAACTTCCGACCTCCAGAACTGTAAGACAATAAATCTGCCTTATTTTAATCACTAAGTTTGTGGCAATTTCCTACAGCAGCCATAGGAAACTTATACAGTCAGCCTTGGTAGAGTGGGGGAGGAAAGAGGAAGTCTAGTGACGTGTGCACACGTCTCATGGTAACAAAGGGGAAATGTCTTATTAATCTATTTATTGTGACTATGAGATAACTTACACGAATATGAAGCTCTTCATTGATGGATTCTTTTTTATTGGTTTTTTTAACATCCAGGTACCTGACCAGAGGGCCAATTGTGATTCCCTAGATCAGAAATAGCAAAATAAAAGGGTTCTGCTGTGTTGAACACTGTCACTAGAGAGAGAAAATTTATTAACAAAACCATTAGAATGTCCAATCTATATGTTTTGGTATAGCTATTACAGAATAAATGCTCCAATGTTCACTTCAGGTCTTCGTTCTTTTAAGTACTGCAATAAAAATAGATACATTGTTTGTATTTTAATATAGGAATTTGGTTTCACCCATTAAAATAAACGTTCATTGGTTCATTAAGAGCTAACTCCCACTAAAACAAAAACGTATGCTACCTAGTACTAATTGGAATCTCTTTTTCAGAAATATAGAGTAGCTATTAGTCACCTGTTACTCAGGAATCTTTTTCTTAATACGCTGTATTGATTAAAAGGCAATATATTTCAGAAGTTAAAGGATGGTCACAAACATGATCTAGAAATCTCTGGAAATTTAGTTTGGGTATTGAGTGCAGATCTGAAAATCAGATAAAATGCCTTTATTTGTATTTTACTAATTTACTACGTTGTCCTGAAATAATCTATTTTAAATATAAGGGAAATCTACTCACCTGAATAAATACAGTAAAGTATATAACTACTAGAGTAGCAGTGACGAACATTTTCTTCCTAGGAAAAAGAGACAGAGGAAGCAAAAATGCAAGTGAAAAACTTCCGGCTCCTCGAACACCACTGTAGAAAATGATGCACTGGTCCTTGATGGAGAAGGGGAAAGTCCGAAACTGGTTACTGATATAGAAGAGAGCAAATACGCCTAGAAAGGGGGAAATATGTATTAGAGCAGAGGATCATGAACGAGCAGAGATACAGAGCTAGTGAACTGAGGTTGTGTGTGCGTGCCCTGCAAACAATGCAGCCTAATTCCATCATACATCCATGATTGTCTATCCCCAGGTAGAGTATCTTTTATGGCTTTTCACTTTGTTAGTTGTGAGACAGTAGCACTTGAAGTGGGAATCTTCGCTACAGTTTCCTGGCATGTGTTGTGTGTATGTGTCTGCATTAGTGTGTTTAAATTAATAACATCTTGATTTTTCTAATGTAAGGTATATATTTTTCTAATCTATATTCATAATTTTTGTCCTGCCTTTCAAACCTAGTCAAATCAAGGGTATTGTTGAGTGGGTAGGGGGGATGAACGCATTCTTATCATCTCATATTCTCATTAAGTATCCAAAGGAGGCCTGTAATTTAAAAATGAGAGGGGTCCTCTTAGAGACTATGGTCTCTACAATCAAATCCTTTATTGTTGCCTTGTCCCTCTTGAGGTTCATTGCAAACAAGGAAGGAAGTTGGCAAAGGTTAGGGGGTGAGTGGGTGCTTCTTACTGCCAGTGAGCTTCTTAAACAGAAGGTTTAGAGTGGAAGAGCTTGCTGGAAACATAGAGGAGTTTTCTACCACATTGATTTTCATCCCCAAGTGGCTCACATAACCTAGGTACCACCAATGCAGTGGTGCCTGGTGGGAAAGGTCTTTTCACTAAAGCTCTGATAAATCAAAGAAGAGTTTCACTTAGTAGAATAAAACTCTCCACATCCTATGTACTTCTTGTCACACAGACTTGCCAGCAAGCATTCTTTGATAATAGGCGCATGGATAGTGCAAAAGATAAGCAAATTTACTTTTTTAAAATATTGTTGTGTTTGTCCTCGATCCTCTCCATGCCAGTCATGTGACCTTGAGTGAGGTTCTTAACCATTTCATGTCCTCAGACTCCTCATCTGCTTGATGGGGTAGTCATAGTTTTTCTCTCAGAATGTGAACGTAAGGATTAAATAAATTTAGCATCCATAAATAACGTAAGATGCAGCCTTTTATGTAACAAGCCTTCATGAGTGTGAACTACTATTAGCTGTGATGAGTCAGGGTAGGAAGAGAACAGGCTATGAGGGGGAGAACCGAATTCTAACACCTGGCTTTGTCAATTGCTGTGATGTGGCCAATTTTGTCACTGTTTTGGTGGTTTTTCCATCAATTTCCTCAACTGTAAGAGTATGGGGTTGATCTGGATCATGAAGGATTAACAATGTCGACGTTCCTGCAATATATATCCTCCTCTTCTAGTTAGTTTCTTTTCTTGTTGGCTGGGCTAAAGCTCTGTAATTTTACTTCCCCTGGGCATTCGCTCTCCTCCCCTGTAGATTCCCAGAGTATTAGAACTGAAAGAGAACTAAGAAATTTGTTCAAATCCATCATTCTGTGGTTGAGGAAGATGATTTTGAACAGTTAAATGTCTGTCCAAGATCAAACACTGGTTCGTAATAAGACTAGTGATTTGAGATAATAAACTTGCATCACAGCTTCCTCTATTCTCCCACAAGGAGCTCAACAACATATATATTCAGAGTTACTTATAGATATTTTCATATTTCTCTATTCTTGTTAATCTCCTCTAGAGCCTAAAACCCATCCTAAATGAATTTGGAATTAATTTGTTCAAGATAGGTTCTCAGCCATTTCGCCTAATTTCTCTTTGAGTAATTGGCTTGAAAATATGGATCAAAGTCATTTAACATAACGCTTCAAATATTAGTCGAGTCACTTAAAAATAGACTTGCTTGTAATCAAAAGGCAACACATATATTGTATGTCAGTGCTTAATGTTCTTTTCTGGCTCCTGAAAAATAAATGTACAAGATAAATCATCAACCACTAGTTCTCATTTTAAAAGATTAGTTACATTTTACAGGTGTGATGCCAGTTACACTCTAAAGTTGTTCTTACTAATTAATACAAAGCTCTTTTAGAAATATTCACTTCCTGATTTTTTTGTTTGCTATACATCACACATTCATGCACTCAACCCTCAAATAAAACCACCTATACTGTTTAGGGGGATATTTGCTATCACTATTTGTCTTCCATGGAATACAATTTGTGAGATCTCACTTATCCTATAGTGAAAGTGTAAATAAATGCCCACAGTTTATAATCCATATCTGATGTAAGGTGCGAGAGGATACAAATCTGCAAAGAAGTGAAGAGCAAGGGATATGTTGGTCTTAGAAACCAAAAACATTGGTGCAACTCCAAATAAAAGTAACACACATGTATTTTCCATTGACTGAATTATATTTAAATAGGTAATTGTGAAAGTTCTTTCTTCAATTAAATAAAATGCTCCTTGCCCCGACCTTGCTTCAGTGCAGAACCTGATCAGCCACTAATTACTTTGAGCTGACTGAGGGAACAAACAGGAAAGATTCCTGCTCACAACCAGGTGCCTAGTCTACCCTAACCGGTAAAACCAGTTAGCATCTACTCAGTCCTCTAGTTTTTACATTGCAGAAGGGAATAAAAGAACTGAAATGCAGCAGGACCAGAGACTCTGGGGTCCTGCTGTCTCTTACTGATGGCTCTCCAGATTTGGCAGAAGGCCAGGGTGAAGCAGACGAAGGCCCAGTTCCACTCATGATTCTTGCCCACGGTGGACACGCCCATGAAGATGAAGATCAAGGTCTCGCTGACACTGCTCAGCATCTTCATGAAGTACTTGATGGTCGTGTATGACGTCTGGGACACGTTTTCTTCCACGTACTTTTTCATTGTTACCGCGCAGGCTGTGATTCTATAAAAGGAGCAGAGTCGAGTCTCAGAGAAAATCTATGAGGTTTTCCCCCTCCACAAAACGCCCTCCCCACAGGCGATGCCACAGATGCATGAAGCCCTTGTTGATGCAGGAATATCTCCCTTATTCCCTTCTGTGGCTGCAGATTGTCCACAGATCGTCTTTCTCCCTCTTTTCCCTCCCTAAGGGATCTTTACAAGGTAAAGCCAAATGTGGTGGGAAGGTGGGCGTGGCACGGTGAAATAAAAGGACACGTAATTCCCATGGGCACACCCAATGCGGAATGCTTCTCTCTTGCCCTCTTCATGAAGAGTTTTCAGTCCCAACTCACACTCTACTTTACTCTGCCTTAAACCAAAATAACAGAATAATTCAGCAAGGTTCTCATTTCCTCCAACCCAACCATAAATGATCAAAACTTCTAAAGCAATGCAAGGTTCTCTTTTATTGGCTTTATTTCAAATATTTCTGCTCGAGAGCCATTAAGCAAGTATGGGAAAAAGAAAAAAGCTTGCCTTGTCTTAGAAGTTTTGGTCATTTTCCAGGTGGGAAAGTGACAGACGCCTGGAGTTTACACTATCACATTTAATTGAAAGAGGTATTTCTCTACAATAAAATTAAATGTATCAGCCTGAATAGCTGGAAAGAAAGATAATGCCATAGAGAAAACAACATGACCAGATATAATAAGCCATGCTGAGAAGCCTCATTCAAAGATAAACATCTCAAGGATACAAGGACATAAGGATACACATTTCAAAAATATTTTCATTAGAGCCAAGAAATGTAGATTTCTAGTCTGATCCCACCTGCCTAGTTTCATCCCACAATGAAGAGCCATGGCTGCATGATGTGGTTGGAGGGGCACAGAGGAAGGCAGAGCCCAGGAACGGCAGTCCTTCAGGCATGCCTCTTTTCAACTTTAAAATTAACTTCTCCACTTTGGGAGGCCAAGGTGAGTGGATCACAAAGTCGGAGATCAAGACCATCCTGGCTAACACAGTGAAACCCCGTCTCCACTAAAAATACAAAAACATTAGCCGGGCATGGTGGCGGGCACCTGTAGTCCCAGCTACTCAGGAGGTTGAGGCAGGAGAATGGCGTGAACCCGGGAGGCGGAACTCGCAGTGAGCAGAGATCGCGCCACTGCACTCCAGCCTAGGTGACAGAGACTCCGTCTCAAAACAAAAACAAAAACAAAAAAACACTTTTCAAGGAAAAAACACACTACTGAGATGAGAATAAGTTTCCCCAGATCTTCTCTGTACCAGCTTTCCTGAGCCTTCTAAATTGAAGTGATAATTGCTATGCTTTCTTCAGACAAATCACAAGAAGAAGACGACGAAGGCAAACATTGGGGAGAATGTTCGTTTGACAAAGAACCTGAACCAGGTTTTATAAAAGTTTAGAAGCGCCTAAATCCTGCAACACCTGGGAGGGTTAGCGTCATTAGTCAAGTCTTTCCCAGCTGCCCGGTTCACGTGATGGGGTCCTAAACTTTCTTTCTATTACTATGTGACTTGATCCTTGGTTTGTACTCACGCCAGGATGCCCGAGAGATAGAGGGTTTCAGCAGCTAAGTAAGACAAATAGCTGAACATGAAGACGATGAGTGGCTCAATTGCAGAGATATTCTGAGTGAAGCGTGTGATAAACGCAGAGATAAATCCAAAAACGACGCCAAACAATACCCCTCCAAGCCCCACAATGACGAATCGGGCACATCCAGCCAAAATGTCGACAGGTTCTATGTCTTCAAATTTATGCATCTTTGTAAAGGCAATTAACATATTGTATAAGACCTAGACAAAAAGGAGAGAAAATAAATATGAATTATGAACAGAAACTAGGAATACTTTGCATGCAGATTCTCAGCTTTGTGTCTAGTTGAGTAATACACAAAAATAAATTACACAACAAAAAATACTAAGATGACTGCCTTTTAACTGTATTCCCAATAATTTAGATGTATTCGGTTTCACTGAATAAAAAGTGTAATACTCACAACTTGCAATCACTGAGCCCCTACTACATGCTGGTCTCTTTGCTAAGCTTTCAGTGGCAGTTAATTTATTGCCTCTAAACTCCAAATGTACCGTTCCGTTTGTGTTCTATAATAGACAGTGGAATTCCTTTAAGCATTTTTTTCTTTAAAGTGAGCACCTAGTTAAGCTCTGTCCGTAGAGGGCCTAGAAAGGACATTCAGGGCCGGGCGCGGTGGCTCACACCTGTAATCCCAACACTTTGAGAGGCCGAAGCGGGCAGATCACGAGGTCAGGATATCGACACCATCCTGGCTAACACAGTGAACCCCCGTCTCTACTGAAAATACAAAAAAATTAGCCGGGCGAGGTGGCGGCGCCTGTAGTCCCAGCTACTCGGGAGGCTGAGGCAGGAGAATGGCGTGAACCCGGGAGGCGGAGCTTGCAGTGAGCCGAGATCCGGCCACTGCACTCCAGCCTGGGCGACAGGGCGAGACTCCGTCTCAAAAAATAAAAAAAAGAAAGAAAGGACATTCAGGTGCAGGCGGAAGGGCCTTCCTGCAGTTTTTCTGGGGCCTGTGGGGAGAGTCAGCCATGTGGGTGTGAGGAACTCCAGCGGATCCTGCCTGAGCCACAGGTCCTGAAAGTGATCCCTCTGCAACCCTACAGCTTCGGCCTGGCCATAACCTGTCTGCAAAAAACCCCGGCATAGCCCATGTGCAACATGTCTGTGGCCCAGCGCTCCCAGCAGCCCACGCTCTGAGAGCCTTCTCCCCCTCCCCCGATGCAGCCTGCTCTTTTGAAGATTCTCTGCCATCTTCCAAGCGCAGGCTCCCACTGCAGCCCCGCACAGGGATTGCTGACTGATGTCTGGCCCTGCCTGCCTTCCAGAGGGTGGTCGATTGCTTGCTCAGCAACTCCAGACCAGCTCCAGTCTGGCTAAAGCAGCCAACTTCTCTGCTACCCAGTGGCCAGTCCACACCTTTTCCAGTAAGAGGTGAACCCCTCCCAAGCGTGTCCTTCCTTGGGTGCCCTCCCTCAGCCCTAGGGTACATAGAGAGTTTCCTTATATCTTATAGTTATGCCTTTATTATAGTTAATACATTTTATAATGCATTCACATTTTTTATTTAACCTATCATGTGGTGTATCTTACCTGATTGCACCTAGACTGTTATTCCCTCCATACACATCATTTCATCAAATCCCCCAAACGACTCTAGCCTATGTGACACACTCTCTGAATTTTCCCATTATTTCTCTATTTATTTCAACGTTATTTTGAAGCTGCAGGGATCTACTTATCACTGTTTCATGCCTCTCCACAGCCCAGAACTATGATCTAGCTCCTGCAAAGCGGCAGCAGGTGTACAGGTAATGAGACACAGAGAAGAGCTGAACGAAGATCTCTGCAGAAATGAAGACCTTTGGGAATATCAGCCCCTGAAGAGTCCTGCGAAACCACAGTACATGCCTCTGAGCCTCTATCTACACCAGGAAAATTGCAAAAAATCAGAGCAGAGGGCAGAAGCTAAAACTCAAGGAAATCGTGGCCATGATGGTATTCTGCGTGCTTCAGAGGCACAGATGGACTGCATGGACCTTCTAGAACTGAAGATGCCCCCTCACCTTCACAGTCGGCTCTCATGTCCCCTCTGGCTGTGGCCCCCCATGCTGCACCTTGCCAGACTCGCCCAGGCCTTCTGCTTGACTCTGATCTCTCCAAGATGGGAATCATCTTCCTTACAGGGACACTCGGTGTCACCACTGATATCCAGTGTGGCCTGACAGCCTTTGGGTTCTGGCTTTGGGTTCTGGCTTTGGCTTCATCCTCAGGACTCACCAGAACCGCACACTGCATTGTGCAAACACTGACCCCTTGCTGTGGTCTGCAGCCTACAGGAATTCATTCCTCCTCCAGCCCCTTTCCTAGTCCTGGCCACTCCAGGTCGTCTGTAAGCCCGACCTCTACTGATTCCCTCTAATATCACCTTCATGATAAAAGATTGTTGTTTTTGGCCAGGGGTGGTGGCTCATGCCTGTAATCCCAGCACTTTGGGAGGCCAAGACATGTGGATCACCTGAGGTCAGAAGTTCGAGACTAGCCTTGCCAACATGGTGAAAACCCATCTCTACTAAAAATACAAAAAATTAGGCAGGACACCGTGGCTCACACCTGTAATCCTAGCAGTTTTTGGGGCCAAGGCGGGCAGATTGCCTGAGCTCAGGAGTTCGAGACCAACCTGGGCAACACAGTGAAACCCCATCTCTACTGAAATACAAAAAATTAGCCAGGCATGGCAGTGTGCTTCTTCTGGTGTCTGCCAGCAGTCCTCACTGTTCCTAGGTTTGTGAGTGCATCACTCCAGTCCCTGCCTGCATCTTCACCTGGTCTTCTCTGTGTGTCTCCTCTGTGTCATATCACCTTCTTATAAGGACACCAGGCATTGGATTAGGGTCCACCGTAGTCCAGTGTGAGCTCACCTTCAATAAGGATAACTGTAAAGACACTGTTTCCAGTTAGGGTCCCATCCTGAGGTTCCAGGTGGGCATGGATCTTTGAGGGGACACTATTTCACCCAGTGCAGCTTTTATAAACAAAATGACCATGCTGTGAAATTAACTTGTATTACAGACTAGAAGTTTTCGTTATAAATCTCTCAGAGCACAGATAATTTTATTTTGAATTTTACAAGGTCTTAAACTGTGGCTTATTCCCCAAATGGTTCAATCACGTTTCTTAAGAGAGCCTAGGATGCAGGTATTGAGTGTATGGATTAGTGCTCACTGCTCAATGTAGTAAGTAACCAGTAGCCAATAAGCACGGTTAGATAAGGGAATGTGGGCAGAAGGTTATAATAGGCTTGCCGTCTTCCCTCAAAGGTAAGTTTCTAGTGTATTTTCTGGGAGGAGAGGAAGCTGAGGAAGATGAAGAATCAGAAAGCTTGGTGCCAATGGGTCCAAGCAAGTATACACACAGCATACAGACACACACACAATAGACACACACATACAACAGACACACAACAGACACACAAGCAACAGACACATGCAACAAACACACAGACACACACACATAGCATGGACATTGTGATCTTTTGATATTAGGAAAGGAATTACTTAAAAAGAGAAAGACTTGCAGAAATCTTAAACTGAATTTGGTTAAGAATATACATGATAAAGTGTAGAAATGTCCAGAAACAAACAAAAAAAAAAAACAAAGGAAAAGCCCCACAAATGTCCCACAATCCCTCCTAGAGAAAACTACTACAGATATGTATTTTCTAATTCTGTCTGTCTATCTATCTATCTGTCTATCTGCCTATCTATCTATCTATCATCTATCCATCTGCTGTCTATCATCCACCTCTCTATCTGGGGCAGTCAGAGCCCCTCAGATCTCTAACTGCAGGGATTCCCATCTGCCATTCTCAGCTAAGGCCGGAGCTTAGCAGGGACACTGAGATAGGCCCCTTTCTGGAAGGAAAAGGACTCCTTGGATATGTGTTTTAGTCTGCGGTTCCTGATGAGCTTGATAAAGTCTCTAAGAAATGCAGTAAAAACAGTCCCATCCAGCTTCTGTCCCTCCCTCTCTCCTTCCCCTGGAATCACTCTGCACTGTGACCTGAGGGCTCTCCCATCCCCCTGGGCTTCTTCCCCATTTTCCCTCACAGAAGTTTCTCTAGTAAAACTCTTATACGTTTAATGCACTCTGAGTGTCTAATCCATGACGGACCTGGACAACATCTATCGGTCTGTTTGTGTATCAATCATACTTTACAAAACTGTTAAAATCCTGGTCTATTTTATTTAAACAAACTGAAGCCATGCTTTAAGAAAACCTGGGCTGAGTATTTGAAACAAAATGTGACTTATGATTTTGAATGAATCCAAAAGAATCTTAGTGGTTGTGTCTCGACTCAGTGAGTTTGTTTAGTCCAACTTCACTTTCTGCCACATATGGGTCTTAGAAGGCCTGGGTATTGCACTGTTGGAGTTGAGCTCACACTGAAAGGAGTGAAGCCACAATGAGGAGTCACACACTCCCCACAATCCCAGACAAGGAAAATCTGAATGAGGTTAAGTGGAACCTGACTGTTTATTTGACTCTCAAATCCAAAGGAAACTCAGAGAACATGACCGAGACTCAAAGATTTGAATATTGTTGCCATAAACTAAAATTCTTTTACATAGCTTGTTAGATTATTAGTAGCTACCCAGACTGTTCCAATGGCCTGGGAAAGGCAATTGGACCAGCCTTGTCTTTGGACACCAGTGTGCCCTGCCAGGAAGATGCCATGGCAGTTTCAGAAGCTAAAGTAGTACATATAATTAAGAAGACTGCATTTACAATCACAATCCTTACTACTGCACGAAAAACAGTTCTTACCTTTCAAATTACCAGGCTCTGGGTAACATTATAGTTGCAAAAGATTTTCTTTGGGTTCATTTCAAGTCACAATAATGTGTGTGTATCTTTTATACACTGAAAGGAAAAGCTCAGCCAATGCTAAATCTCAAACATGTCCACAGCCCCATGGAGAACAAGGTTAGATTTTCCCTCTTCACTCATTGTCTCAGCAAATGATCCTTTTGTGTTACCTTTAACACAAGATTCTCCAAGCCTTCCAACATTATAATAGTGATGGTCCTGTAGCTGATGCCACTGTAAAAGTTTGCAAAGCCATTTTAACATGCAGAGACTCACACAATGACTAAAAACATTAGTCCTTCGACCAGGGCTCAGCAGAGGTGAAGAGTCAATCCCAAATGTGCTGACATTTTTTTTTTCTTGTTAACTTTATTGAGGAAAGACTTAC